AGAAGCAGAGCGTAGCCAAGCGAAGCTCTACCTCAAGGAGCAGCTCCACGACATCAACTGCGCCGTCAGTTCGATGAGGAGCGCCATCGGCATCACCGACGACAAGCTGGGCAAGATGATGCACGGCCCGATGCCATGGGAGCTGGACTACACGAGGCGCCAGGCCGACGAGATCGACAACATATACACGCGCTGGACCAAGGGCCCGCACGGCTACGCCTACGACGAGGCCTCCTTCGCCTTCGACACGCAGACGGAGCCGATGGTGGAGCCGCAGATGGAGATCAAGGGCTACCTCCAGCCCGCTCGCAGGCCGCCGTGCACCAGCCCGAGCAAGAGCGTAGAGGGCTGGGAGAACCGCGGCAAGGTGTTGTGCAGTGAGGCCAGCTCTAGCACCCCAGCCGCCGCCACAGCAGTCACTAAGGCCGACGGCTCCGCTCAGAGCAGGGACGTCAGGCTCTCATCGCCAAGGGCGGCAGCAGCGGCAGGCTGGGGCATAGGGCAGCAGTATAGAGCAGATTGCACCAGGCCTGGCTCTCCCCCTTTTTTTTCTCCCCACTTCAGCCCTAGAAGCGGGGGCTCGGCTGCAAGCACTCACCGCATGGGCCAGTGCGGCCATGCATCTATTCTAGCCGAGAGCCTTCAGGGAGATGTACCAGGCCGCCTCTTCTTTTTTTTTGCCTCTCTCTGCCGTCTGGGGAGTGGGGAGTGGGGAGGATGGGGGGCGGAGGTGGGTGGGCTCTCAGAGGTGGGGGGTGCGCCCAGCGAGGCAGCCCCCCACCGCCTGCAACAGTTGACAGGCCGATACCGAGGCAGGGTCTCCCTGCTAGCGAGGCTCGGGGACCACGTCCACCAGAGGGGCGGGCCCCGTCGCCTCAGGCGGCCCCCCCAAAGCAAGGGTGGGCTCGCATCCATATATCTCCCAGGGGTCGGCATGCCTGTCGGTAGGCGAAGTTGACAGACCCCCAAGGGCCTTATCCTTATCCTTATCCTCCTCCTCCCCCTCCTCCTCCCCCGCCTCCTCCCCCTCCTCCTCTTCCCCCCTCCTCCTCCTCCCCCCCCCTCCTGCTCCTCCTCCTCCTCCTCCTCCTCCTCCTCCTCCCCCTCCTCCCCTTCCTCCTCCTCCTCCTCCCTCCCCGCCTCCTCCCCCTCCTCCTCCCGGAGGAAACGCCACCCGGACCAGAGACCTGGCGTTTGCTAAACGGCCTTGGGCGTTTCCTGAACAGCCCTGCCCTGTCCGATTCCTTCCGTGGGGGCGTGGAGCAAACGGCCTCGCGCGCCGGGGTGGTTGTTGTGGGGGTGGATCTTTTGCCCTCTAGAAATGCCAGCACCGATTGTGATCGCTTTCGTTACTCCTTGTTTGGCCGATCGGCGCGGGCTCTCCCCCCCCCTCCTGGAGTGGACGTGGGCTGTTTTCTCTGGGCGCCTGTCGCAACGCCGAATAACAAGAAACGCTCACATCCTCGAAGAAGTGCAGGGCGCAGCAATTGAAAATGCACTTCCGCAGGGCCTCGTGGATTTCTGTGGTCGGCCCAGGCCGCCCCCGGCGCGCTCCGCGCGCAAGGTGGAGGTCAGCGCCGACTCGCAAAATCCGCGCGGACCTCCGACTCGTTGCGCGAGCCTTTTTTGTTAGTGCTTCTCCCGTCACTCTCGCATTCTTTGGCCTTTGGCGGGCCGTCGTCGCCACGGCCAGATTCGCCTCGGAGTTCTGGTCAGCACCCCGGGAGTGGTCCGGGCAGTAGCAGCACCAGTGCATTTTGCCCCCCGCCCCCCCCCCCCCAGGTCGCCTCTGGCGTCCTGGGCCAGAGGGCGAACACGCCGGCGGTGGCGGTGGGGGAGCGTGTGATCATCTCGGGCCGGGCGAAAGGGGGGGATTGGGAAAGGGGGGGTTACGAAATTTGCTGCATGCAGCTGGTTTCGGCCTCACCGAGGGGCCCACTCCTCGATACGTAGCCGCCTCTGGCGCCGGGAGGCGCCGGGGAAATCAGCTACGTGAGCTGATTCTCAACCCCCCCTTTGCTATCCCCCCCTTTCGCCCGACCCGATCATCACTGGCCTCGTCAACGCGCCGCAGTTCAACGGCCGCTGTGGCATCGTCGGCACGTTCGACGCTGGGATGCAGAGATACACAGTCCACGTGCTCCCGGAGGGTGATGGCGAGCCGGCGGTCGGGGATTGGCCTACCCAGGCCAGCGTGAACCCGTGTCAGCTAGGGTTAAGTCGGGCCTGTCCCCCTGCAGGGGCATTTTCGACGAAAAATATGAAATACACCCCCACAATGCCTCAAAAAGGCCAACAAATACTTAAAGAATAGTCCCCAGACTATTTTTGGATTATTTTTTGGTTATTGTTGGGGTGTTTTTTTCGTTGAAAATCCCCCTGTAGGGGGACAGGCCCGACTTAAACTTAGGCCCATCTTGTGAACCTGGGTTGGCGATGAAGCCCCCCAGCCTGATCGGCGGAGGGAGGGCAGGATGATGGGCTCCGCGTGGCTCCAGAACCAGAGTCAGCCAGAGCGGATCAAGAGAGATCCGTTGACCCCCATGGGGGCTGACTCTCAACACTCGCTGGGGGGGAAACATACCCATATCCATCCACAGCCTCGCGGTCTGGACTCCTCGATCGCGCTCCCCTGGATGCAGGGCGACCTTCGGATGCGGATGCCCCAAGCAGAACGCATCTAGAGGACTGCATATACGTGGGATCCCGCCTCGGTACGGAGACCGCGAGGGCATGGATAGCGAATGATCCGATGCATGCCAAACAAACTGCGGGGCACCCAGAGGTCCCGAACGACGGTCCCGGGTCCAAAAACGGCGAGGCCGAAAGCGGCGGACAGCCTCCGCAGCTTTTTTCAAACCGTGGAGGTCTTGTATGTTCGATATGATTGTCGCTTGTGAAGTACCCGCTTCCCGAGGTGGTGCCAGCGAAGCTGCGCCGGGAGAACCTGGTCCCGGCAGCCACGGCTGCGGAGCCGCAGAAGCCCCAGGCGGCCAGTGCTCCTACGCGTCTGCCCCTGCTAGAGTCCTCCCTCCCCACTCCTCCCCCCCCCCGCGGATCCAGAGAGTGGAGTGGGGGAGGAGCGGGGGAGCAGTGGCGGAGAAGGGCGACGGAGGGGGGGATGATGGGGGAGGAGTGGAAGAGGAGAGGAGCGGGGGGGATGAGGACGAGGACCAGGCGGAGGAGGGGTAGGCTGAACAGTATGATGAGGGGTAAGGGGGGGGATAAAGGGTAAGAGGAGGAGGAGTAGGAGGAGGATGAGGAGGAGGAGGACGAGGACGAGGACGAGGAGGAGGAGGAGGAAGAGGAGGAGGAGGAGGAGGAGGAGGGGGAGGAGGAGGGGGAGGAGCTCGGCCGAGCAGCCTCGGTATCACCATCTTACAGGGCTATCTGGGTAGCAATGTTCCGGTGCTGCAGCGTGGCGTGGCCGTAACTTAGTGTGCATGTCGCGCCGCGTTTTGTGCGCTTCCTGGAGGCTTCTTGGAGGGCTCGTTGGCGCCTCATGGCCTCATAGGGGGGCTTGTTGGGAGTCTTTGGGGGCTGTCTTAGGCCAGATCTTTCGATCAGGCTCTCAGGAAGAGACTCTGTAGAGCTTTTTTGGAGCTGTCTTGGAGCCTTCTTGGAGCTGTCTTGCGCAGGCTGGGTATGTTCGACCCGTCGTGGAGTTCCCTTATGCCAGTTTTGGATGTGTTTGGGGCTTATTTGGACAGTCTTGGATTGTCTTTTGACTATCTGCTGAAGCCCTTCCGAGGCCAAGGGAAGCAACACCTACACGCGCACACACACACACACACGCACGCACGCACGCACGCACGCACGCACGCACGCACTCACATACGCACGCACGCACGCACGAACGTACCCACACGCACACGCCTGCACGCCTGCACGCACGCACGCACGTACGCACACACACACACACACCCGCAGACACACACACAGACACGCACACAGGCACGCACAGACACACACACATGCACACAGGCACACACACACATAGAGACACAGACACACACACACAGAGACATATACACAGAGACACACACAGACACACACACACAGACTCACACACATACACAGACACGCACAGGCACACCCACACACACTCACACGCACTAATTCCACATTCGCACGCGCACGCTCGCACTCGCGCGCGTGCGCGAACACGCACTGGCATGCGCACGCGCACGCACATGCTCACGCACACGCAAACACAACCGCGGCTCACAACATCAAGCATGCATCACTACGCAACCAGACGCACACACACACACACACCGTGTACACAAATCACACAACACACAACACGCACACGCATACACCCTACACCACATTCAACACACACACACACGCGCATCACACAAGACACAACACGCCGCGCTCGCAACACGCAGCGCACACGGCACACAGCGCACAAACACAGCATACACAGCACAGCACTCACAAGACAACCCATTCAACCCACAACACACACAACACTCACCACACACGCAAGACACACGACACAACACACAGTACACACAACACTACAAAATAACACACACACACATTCGCATCGAACATATCCGTCGAGCTGTGGCTCATGCTGTTTTGGTCCAAGTGGCTCCCTCAGCCTCTGCAGTGTCGTGCAGTCGTCCCTGATGTTCAACGGCTGCTCCTCTGCGGCGGGTCGGCCAGATGTCGCGAGCTGTCCCGAGCGTCCCGCCCGTTGCCTGCCTGCGACACTTCTCGCAGCATGCTGGCCAGACCCCGCCGCCTCCGCGGCCCGCAGAGACGCAGCCCACGACGACTTGCAGCATGGCGTGGTGGTCGGCAGAGCCCGCAGCCATGGCAGTGCTTCACCGCAGTGCTCTTCGGCCACACCCGTGTCAGCTCTGCTGGTGGCAGCGATCACACCATCAGCGACAGTCCATGCCCAGTGGGGCTCTGGGTCCGACAGGAGCGAAGGTGTGGAGAGCAGCAGCGGCAGCAGCAGCGACAGCAGTTCCTGGGGCGCGGAGGCCAGCACATGCAGGGAGGCGGGTGGACTCGAAGGCCAGAGTGACGTCAATAACCCTGGGGGGCAGGTGGTCGGTCATCCTTTCGTGTGTTTCGACATGGTGCTGGAGCAGGTGCACTCCTGCGGCACCCAAGGCTTCCTGATCCTGGCGGTGCTCTTTCGGGTCGTGAGCCTGACGCTCCTGAACGACGGGGCCGACCTGACGTGCGCGCAGCTCGGCTTCGAGCAAGACTGCCTCGCGCCGTGGCGCACGCCGCCGCCCGCGCGATCCCTGTTCCCTCGGTCGAGCGTCGTGGGCGTCTTGTTGGATCCGGCCGCTGGCCTGCTCGCTCTCCTCGCGGAGCCCTCTTCGGCGGTCCTGGTTTGCGTGGGGCTGCTCAATTCGCGGTACCTCGTGCGAGGAAGTCCGCCACGCAAAAACAAAAACGCACACTGACACCCTCCGCTGGGCTGCCCCTGTGCCTCTGGGGAGGGTGGCGGCGTCTATAGACCACCACCTGGGAGCCAGGCGAAGGTGCATGCAAAGTCCGGCGGAGGGTGTCCGTGCACAGCTCTGCGTGGCGCGGAGGAAGCTGGCCGCCGGCGATGTGGGCCGCGCGGCTGCTGCGGCTCGTCGGGGCGGTCGTCCTGCTCGGCCTCTCCACCCGGGCCCTGGCCGCCTGCCGTCCGCGCGGCGGCACCGCCGCGGAGCACTGCGGCCGGGCGACTGCCCCGGGCTGGAGCTCGGGAGCCTTGAGACGGGGGTCAATGCAAACGGCGGTCAGCCAGGGCGCCAGATCCTGCAGGATCCTGCGAAGACCCCCTCTGGCTGACCCGGGTTGGCGAGCCGCTCGGGGCCGCGAGGCGGCCGCGCCCATTGGCCGACCCGGGTTTGCGAAGACCTGCGCTGCAGTTTTTTTTGTTCCTGCACTGCATCTTTTGGTTTCCCGCTGACCCGGGTCTGGATTGACCCGGGTCAGAAGATCCCCGAGGAGCAGCCCCGTGGCGAGGTTCCTCATTGACTCGTACGGCAGCGAGATGGACCGCCGCGCGCACGACATCGCCATCTCGGGGGTGGACAGACCTCCTCCCCTGACACGTCGAGTAAGGAATTGGCCGTTTTCGGTTCGCGGGAGGGCGTCGCGGCCGTCCTTTTTGCGGGTCCAGGTCCGTCGGTTTCAGTCCCAGGCTCTTTTCACTAAGGGGAGGTTAACCAAAGGGAGGTTTGCCCACCGCCGACAATCGATTTTCAGAATGAGCGCACGAGCGACGGTGTTCTGGTCATCGCCGCCCACCAAGCCACCTCGACCCAACCCGAAGGCCTCGATTTGCCCTCCATTTCCAGGGTGTGGAGGGAGGGGGGTCGGGGGGACATTTGAGAAAAAGCACATGCGGAATCCGTACCCCCCCCCCCCCCCCCCCCCGAAATTCGGGTCTTCGGGCTGGGTGGGGGTAGTCTGGTAGGTCGTCAGGTAAGATGCCAGGCTCTCCTGAGCAACGAGACCGAACAAGAGTGCCTTCATGCCGTTCCTGCGAGGCACCGCCTGTTCTGCGAGAAGCAGCCCCTGACTTGCACCTGCGCGAGCCTTTTTGACTGCTACGACGCCTTTGCTCTCCGAACCCCGTCGGCCGCGCGGGCGGCCACTCACAATCTAATCCTCTGGGGCCTAGTGTGTGCTGTCCTATGGGACCTGCTGCAGCGTGCACTGCCGACCGAGCACGTGCGGCGGGTGCAGGGCTTTCGTTGCCTGGGACGGCGGGTCCCACTGACGCTGCTGCTGGCAGTGCTCTTGGATGGACACTGGTGCCTTTACCACGCTTTCCGCTGGGGCCGTCGATCTTGGGACATGATTGTCACAGCGCAGCCGTGGAATGTCATCCTTTATAATTCCGCGCAGTGGGCGATCGTCATCAAGTTTGTGATTTGCCTACTTGCAGCTGCTTACAACCTGCGGGTCTATCTTCTTCACAGCCGCGCGCTGGCGGCGCTTCCGTGGTCGTTCTTCTGCAAGGAGCCAGATGGCTCGGCGAGCGCACAGGGGGACGACCGTGCCCGCACGCAAGGGGTTTCCAGCGCCTCGCATGCGGCGGAGACTCGGCTGCGGGATGTTGGTCTGAATCCCAAGAGGTTGCGAAAGGCTAACTGCATGTACGGCCCGCTGTATCTGGGCATGGTGCTCGCATCGCTGTTCGTTGGCTCACTGATCGCTGCCATCTTCCCGGTCCTCTTCGTGGTACTTCTGGTGGTGTGCTGGCTGCTTCCTGGCACGCGGCCCACGGTCTGGACATATGCGTTTGCTCCCGTCGTGAAAACTGCCCTATCGTACGGGGTGTTGCTCTGTATCGTCGGCACCATGCAGGGCTGCCTATGGGGGGACATGCGGCGCTTCCCCCGCCGCCCTGCGATGCTGGCGCAGATGGACTTCTTACCCAAGAGGCTTAAGCCATTCCGCCGACCCCCTGAGAGGAGGGAGGAACGCATGGACGTTGTCTGGTGGCTTTTGTTTTTTCCTTGCATTCCTTTCAGGGGCCTCCTGGGGCGGTCTTTTGGGCAGCTGGGTGGCTTTTGGGGGCCTCTTGGGGACCTCTTGGGGGCATCTTGGGGGCTTCTTGGAGGCCTCTTGGGCGTCTCTTGGGGGCGCCCCATGGGTCTCTGGAGGGCTCCTGAAGTCATCTTGGGTGAAAGGCCTGAAATGTCAGTTCGTATTGCCCATCGTGGGCCCCTCTTGGGCGCCTCCTGGGGCCCCCTTGGGCCGTCTTCGAGGCCCCTGAGGCCGTCTTGGAGCCCTCAGAGGCTGTCTTGGGGCCCTCTTGGGGACCTCATGAGCCGTCTTGGGACGATCTTGGGGGCCCCTTGGGCCGTCTTGGCTGCTGTCAAGACCCAAGGCGACTGCATGGGGCCCTCTCGGCGGTCATCTGGGAGCGTTCTTGGGCCGTCTTGGAGGCTTCGTTGGCCGTCTTGAAGCCATCTTGGATCGTCGTGGGGCTATCCTGGGCCGTTTCGACTCTCTTGGACTGTCTTCGCGCTCTGTCTGTGCTGTTCGGGGCAGTCGTGGGGCTTGCTGGAGGCTCTGGAGGCCCCAGGGGCGCCTTGACGAGGTCGTGCTCTCCCCCCCTTTGAGTTCGATTTTGGACACTATAGGGGAGGCGGAAAGGGTGAGGGGGACAGCTGAGTGTCTCGCAGGCCTGTTCACCCCCCGGCAGGCTGGGGCCGGTGGAGTCTTCTGCTCCATGACGGTCGGCTGGCCGCTGCTTGGGGCATACCGCTTGCTGAAGTCTGCGCTGGTCTCCGTGCTGGGCCTTTTGGTTGTCACAAGCCCTGGGACCCACGAGTCGTGGCTGCTCAGCGACAGCGCACACTTTTATTACCTGTCCATACTCACCACCCACCAAACCACCCCAACCCAACCCGAAGGCCTCAATTTATCCTCGATTTCCAGTGGGGGGGGGGCCGGGGAACGTTGAGAAAACACATGGAATCCGTACCCCCCCAACCCGAAATTCGGGTCAAATTCGTGTCTTCGGGTTGGATTTGGGTGGCCTGGTAGGTAGTCACATACTGCGGGTGGAGCGCTTCCGTCAGGAGGTCGAGGAGGGGGCGCACCGAAACGCACACCTCGGTTGCAGGTCGCACGCCTGGGACTGCTTCTCCTATAACTGCAGGCTGTGGGGCATCGTCGTGTCAGCAATGCTCGTGTACTTCGTCATGCAGTTGTTTTTCGGCATCGAGACTGCTCCAGCCTTGGAGGACGCCGGTTCTTTGTTTTCAATTGCTCCAGCCTTGGAGGACGCCGGTTCTTTGTTTTCAAACGACCAAGTGTGACAAACGATCGAGCCCAGAGCCTTACAGCCTGAGAGTGCTCGCAGCCATCGGTGCGGGGCGCCCTTGCGAGCCAGCTTTGCCACGAATGCTGCTTCGCCGATTTCCATCCATGCAGGGGTCGATGTGACATATGGTTGCTCCCTCAAAAAAGCCGGCAGCAGCATGTTCCTCGTGCTTCTTCCCACGCGGGGTCTTGCCTGGGAGCTCCATGGGTGCCTTTGCTTGAGGCATCGCGGGGCCTCTGGAGGTTCCTCGTGCCGTCTCAGGCCAGTCGTGGGGCACCCTGCAGCCGCCTTGGGGTGGTCTCGGGCCGTCTTGCAGCGGGCTTCGGGCCGTATAGACCACAAGGGGGGAAGACGTGTGGACGTGCCCACACCATCTGATAGATTCGGTGGCAATCTTACGCGCGGTTGCAATGTTCTGTCCGTTAGACTCCAGGGGCGCAGGACGCTTGCAGAGGTTCTGTGCCTGGCAGCACCCAGGGAGTGCGCGGTCATTTTGATACACAGGTTCTTGGGTGACACGGCTGTCGAAGCGTTGCGTCCGCTTCTGTCCCGTCTTGGCGGCCTCTTTAGGTCCGTTTTGACTCCGTCTTGGGGGTTTGTTGGGCCGAGGTTTGTGGACGACGATCAATGGAGAGGAAGCATGTTGCCAAACCATTCCCAGATGTCTAAAAAATGTTTTAACGATGTCTTCAACATGCTTAAACCATGTTTTAAACATTTTTAGAACAATTGTCAAACATTTACGGACATTTTTGATTCAATGATAGGATCGTTAGGATGTTCAGTGTCATGGCATCCACAGGCCGAGGTTCTTGGGCCGTCTCGGGCCGTTTGGGGGCATTTTGAGGGTATTGGGGGCCATCGTGGGGTGGAGGGCTCCCGGGCCCCCTTCGACTTCCTCATCTTGGTCTCTTCGCATGGCCTTCGATGGGGTATCTTGGGTCGTCTGGAGGGCCACTGGGCCGTCTTGGGCAAGGCGGCAGCGCGGACGCGGAAAAGAAACAGCCAACAGCGAATCAGTGATTGGTGATAGTTTTTTATTCATTGTTTTGCCGATCGGCGCGTGCCCTTGCACCCCTCCCTCCCCCCCGTAGATCCTGGCTGTTTTTGGCGCCTGTTTCGAGCAGGTGGAGTCCCCCCTCATAGGACGCACTGTCCCACACAGTCGCACTACGCAGAGGTCTGGAGCCAGATCCCCGCCCCTCCCCTCCCTCTTCGCTCAACGTCGAAACGCCGAATCAGAAAACGCTCACGCCTGCCTCTGGGTGCCCTCTTGGGGTCGTGCTCCTGGGCTCCTCTCGGGGCCTCTCGTGGAGCGCCGACCCGCTGCCGCCGCGCGGGAGGCTTTGGGGGAAGCCTCCGGAAGTTTCCGGAGGCCCCGGGAGGCCTTCCGAGGTGCTTGAAGGTCTCCAGAGGTCCCCACCATGGCGCCAACATCGCAGAGCGGGCTCCGTTCGGAGAACGATCGGATGGGCCCGGAGTGTCCTGGAGAATTTCGTTCCGGATCTCGAGGTGAAGTTCGTCCGGATTTTGTGTTGGCCAGGAGTGAAGACGGAACCCAAACCCACGCGAAATTCACTCCGTTGTTCACTCGCCTCTTCGGGGTTTGGCATTGACAGAAATCCGCGCAAATATCCGCTGCAGCACGTCTGCAAGGTCGGTGCAGTGATACCCCAGATTTCGTAATAAAAGGGAGGGGGTCTGGACCCTCCAAGACAAGCCATTTCAGACCCCCCCCCGTGGGAGAACCCTCCGAAACATCGTCCCCAGACCCCCCCAGGCCCTCCAAGATAGCCTGGAAGAGACCCCCCCCCGAAATGAGACCCCCCCCCCTTTATTACGAAATCTGGAGTACCCGGGTGCTGAAGGAACACGTCTGTCCTCTCGGCCCTGCAGGGCCGACCGCTGCTCACCTTCTTTCGCCGCCAGCCGGCGGCGCGCCAAGGGCGGCCATTCAAGGACGCACGGTGCCCCTGAGAAGGACTTGGCTTGGCATTGCTCGTGCGTTTTTTTTTTTTTTTTTTTTTGTTTTGCTTTTTTTGATTGTTTTGTTTCTCGTTTTTTTGTGTTTTCTCTATTTCTTGTTCTCCCTGGCGGGGACCATCGAGGAACATCCAGGATCGCCGTGCGCCAAAGACGCGCACGACACCGAACAACACGCGCGGGGCATGGACGCCCGAGCGATGGCGAGCTGGAGGCCTGCGCCAGCTGCGGCGGGGCGCAACCCGCCCCGCGGCAGGGGCTTCGGTGCTCTTCCCCGGCCGCCCCGGGCGCCGCCCGGGGCCGAGCCCGCAGTGCTCGTCAGGAGCGACAGAAGGACGTACACGTACATGAATCCACGCTGGTTTCGAGAGTACGCATTGCGCAAATGTTCGTATAGCGCGGCCGGTCTCGCGGATCGAGGGGCCGTGTTCATGTACATAGCTGGGCGCGTACGTCCTTTGTGGGCTCCCTAGCTCGCTCGTCTGCACCTCGAGGCCTCGCTCGCAGCCGGCTCCGGTGCCCTGCGCTGGGGCAGGCCGCCGCCGCCGCCGCCGGCGCCGCCGCCGGCGTCGCCGTCGTCGTCGTCGTCGGCGGCGGCGGCGGCGGCGGCGGCGGCGTCGGCGTCGGCGGCGGCGTCGCTCGCCGCTCGCCGCGAGCCCTGATGCCAGGCACCGCGGCCGAGCCCGCCAGCGCAGGCGCCGCTCCGCGCGGAGCCCGGCGCGCCCCCTCGCGCCGGGCGGCCTCGCGGCCCGCGGCGGCGAGGCGGCGAGGCGCTGCGGGGGGCCGAAACCGCGGCCCTCGGCGGCCCAGGGCGGCCCTCGGCGGCCCGCGGCGGCCTTCGGCGGCCCTCGTCGCACGGCGGCGCCCGAAGGCCAAGGCCGAGGCCAGAGTGAAGGCGGGCATGTCCCTTTACCCTACAGGAGGGGGACTCAAGAATAGTCAGGAATAGTCAGGGGGCCATGTTTTAATGCCACTTCTGGCTGTTTTTGAGCATGTTTCGATTATTCCCAACCATCCTGTGGTGTTGGGTCCTCGTTTTGAAGAGACGGTGCCCCGCGTTCTCCTGCCTCCCGCTGCCCCCTCCTCCTTGCTGCCGCCCGCATGCGTCACGCACACCCAATTCGGCACACCCCTCACACGTTTCGTGGCCCCATAGGGAGCTCCACCGAAGGCCCCAGTGCTGCCGCCCGCATGCGTCACGCACACCCAATTCGGCACACCCCTCACACGTTTCGTGGCCCCATAGGGAGCTCCACCGAAGGCCCCAGTGGCTGCGCCCGCATGCGGTTCCACCCCCCATTCGGCACACCCCTCACACGTTTCGTGGCCCCATAGGAAGCTCCACCGAGGCCCAGTGCCTGCCGCCCGCGTGCGTCAGCAACCCCAACCCAATTGCGGCACACCCCTCACCACGTTTCGGGCCCATCAGGTAATCCACCGAAGGCCCGAGCGCTGCCGCCCGCATGCGGTCCCGCACGCCCAAATTCGGCACACCCCTCACACGTTTCGTGGCCCCATAGGGAGCTCCGCCGAAGGCCCCAGCGCTGCCGCCCGCATGCGTCACGCACACCCAATTCGGCACACCCCGCACACGTTTCGTGGCCCCATAGGAAGCTCCGCCGAAGGCCCCAGTGCTGCCGCCCGCATGCGTCACGCACACCCAGTTCGGCACACCCCGCACACGTTTCGTGGCCCAATAGGAAGCTCCGCCGAAGGCCCCAGTGCTGCCGCCCGCATGCGTCACGCACACCCAATTCGGCACACCCCTCACACGTTTCGTGGCCCCACAGGGAGCTCCGCAGAAGGCCCCAGTGCTGCCGCCCGCATGCGTCACGCACACCCATTTCGGCACACCCTACACGTTCTTCGTGGCCCCATAGGGAGCCCCACCGAAGGCCCCAGTGATGCCGCCCGCATGCGTCCCGCACACCCAATTCGGCACACCCCTCACACGTTTCGTGGCCCCATAGGGAGCCCCACCGAAGGCCCCAGTGCTGCCGCCCGCATGCGTCACGCACACCCAATTCGGCACACCCCTCACACGTTTCGTGGCCCCATAGGGAGCTCCACCGAAGGCCCCAGTGCTGCCGCCCGCATGCGTCACGCACACCCAATTCGGCACACCCCTCACACGTTTCGTGGCCCCATAGGGAGCTCCGCCGAAGGCCCCAGTGCTGCCGCCCGCATGCGTCACGCACACCCAATTCGGCACACCCCTCACACGTTTCGTGGCCCCATAGGGAGCTCCGCCGAAGGCCCCAGTGCTGCCGCCCGCATGCGTCACGCACACCCAATTCGGCACACCCCTCACACGCTTCGTGGCCCCATATGGAGCTCCGCAGAAGGCCCCAGTGCTGCCGCCCGCATGCGTCACGCACACCCAATTCGGCACACCCCTCACACGCTTCGTGGCCCCATAGGGAGCTCCGCAGAAGGCATCAGTGCTGCCGCCCGCATGCGTCACGCACACCCAATTCGGTACACCCCTCACACGTTTCGTGGGCCCATAGGGAGCTCCGCCGAAGGCCCCAGTGCTGCCGCCCGCATGCGTCACGCACACCCAATTCGGCACACCCCTCACACGTTTCGTGGCCCCATTGGGAGCTCCGCCGAAGGCCCCAGTGCTGCCGCCCGCATGCGTCACGCACACCCAATTCGGCACACCCCTCACACGTTTCGTGGGCCCATAGGGAGCTCCACCGAAGGCCCCAGCGCTGCCGCCCGCGTGCGTCACGTACACCCAATTCGGCACACCCCTCACACGTTTCGTGGCCCCATAGGTAGCTCCGCCGAAGGCCCCAGCGCTGCCGCCCGCATGCGTCCCGCACACCCAATTCGGCACACCCTTCACATGTTTCGTGCCCCCATAGGGAGCTCCGCCGAAGGCTCCAGCGGCCGCGCTCACATGCGTCCCCGCCACCCATCCCGGCACGCCCCTCACAACAACAGGTTTCGTGGCCCCATAGGGAGCTCCACCGAAGGCCCCAGTGGCACCGCCCGCATGCGTCACCA